AAACTGACAAAGCCCTGGGCTGGCAGATGACACTTCCAGCGCCCTCCCTGGTCCCTGGAGGTTTCCCAGATGCTGCTGGGTTGGCAAGTTAAACCTGCTCCGTTTGTATGTGGTATCATGCATTTCAACCACTCCCTTGTGAGTTGTTCTGGCCTCAATCTTAGACCATAAGACCACTGGCGACTGAGGTGGTACCTGCTCCGTAGTACATGCCCCGTCTCTTGCCATCCAGACTGGCCCCCCAGGCCAGGGAATTGCAACATTTTCCGCCTCCAGCAGATCTGATGGATGTGATGCTCGATCCATTGTATGAGGCTGGAGGTGGAGGGAGCGGGCCAATCCCCCTGTCCTCCACAATGGTTCTTTTTTCTTTTTTTTTAAGATTTTTTTTTTTGATGTGGACCATTTTTAAAGTCTCTATTGAATTTGTTACAATATTGCTTCTGTTTTTTGCTTTGGTTTTCTGGCTGCGAGGCATGTGGGATGTTGGCTCCCCGAGCAGGGATCGAACCCGCACCCCCTGCACTGGAAGGTGGAGTCTTAACCACTGGACCGCCAGGGAAGGTCCCCCTGCCCCGACCTGTGATTCTGATGTGGGGACCCCCCCCTCACAGGGAGGCACCCCATACTTGCTGCCGTCTTGCCGCTCCCCCGCTTCAGTTCTCGGTTAAGTCGGTGTGTTGCCAAGTCACGCTCCTTGACATGCGGACCCCCAAGGACTCATTTCCAGGATGTTTTTGGCTCCTTGACAGCCTCTTCCTGTTTTGGAAGCTAAAAGGTGGCATTATAAAGCCAGAGAGGTTTCATTGTTTTGGAAAAAAAAGCCTCCACTGACTGAGGAGGGAACTTCAGCCTCTCGATGGCAGAGACACGCTCACCCCTGCGAACAGCCTCCTCCTTGCGGGCCAACTGCCTCCGCGCCTTCCTTTTGGGCCTGAGCATGACTGAAACTGTTTTCTCTCCTGTCTCAGTGTTTTGCTTATGTGTCAGAAACCCTGAAGTTGGCCGCATTGGTCAAGCACGACACATTTCAAATGAACACAAAAGACAGTCTGTGAAAACACCCTCTAAGGAAAGCTCCCTCACTCCACGCCGTGCATTCACTGAAAGGAATTCACCAGCAATATTTTCTTTCACTCAGAATGCCCCACCTCTGGCTTGATGCTAAGAATAAGCTAAATGATTAGAAAAAGTAAAAGGTGGCAGCTAGGAATTAAAGAGTCTACAGAAAAATGACCTTCGCAACGGGGAGTGACGTGGTTTCATGTTCTCTCAAACCAGACAGCAGGGACCTAAGATGAGACAACTCTGACAGAACCGGGAAATCTCTGTACATACGCTCGCCACCTCCATTTACACAGGCGGGAACCCCTCTCCTGCAGCAGGAGCTGTGGAGGGCCATGGTCCCAGAGGGAGAGAGGCACCGCCCTGGGAAGGGGACAGGCAGCTCGTCATGATGGTTTCCCACACGTCACTGAGGGCATGGGGTGGGGTCTGGGGGGGCGGTAGAGACGTAGTGAAATCTCTTCTCCGAGGCCATGTTCTCTCATGACATTTGTGGCTGGAAGCCCTTTCATACCATGTTAAGTTCGGAGATGAAGGCCCACGTTGAGTTTCGGTTAAGGGTTTAGCGGAAGCTGACTAAAGATGTAGCCCAGGAGTTTCATAATACAATGGATCTCTAAAAGTAAATGCCTCCTCTAAGGCAGCACGCTGTCCAGAAAAGTTCCTCAGTTGGTGCTCTGATAGTTTAGGTTAAACTCTAATTTGATCGTCTTTTTCTTCCAATAGCCTTCTCATGTTTTATTTTCACATGCAATTCTTAAATGTTTGCACTGATGAGGGGAGTGTCTTAGGTTGTAGATGATACATGGTGTCTCTACGAGGTACATTAGCTGTGCCACTTACTAGCTCTGACTTTAGGAAAATTATCGAATCTGCCTGGCCTGTTTCTTCAGCTGTAGTAATACAGGAAAAAACCAGTGCTGGCCTTCTATAGTAGCTGTGAGCGCTAACCTAGTAAATGAGAACTACGCAGCAGGCACTCAACAAACGCCAGCCGTACTGTTATCACTCACAGTGAAGGCTTGGGACAATTCACTGGCAGTCACAGGTTTATTTGAAATCCAACAAAATCTTTGTTCTTTGACACAGGGGTGGGGTAACTTAGTCCCCAAAGCCTGGAGGTGTTTTTTTGTTTTGTTTTATTTTCTTTTTAAGAGCACCAATTATATGGACTTGAAAAGGTAAAACTAGATTCTATTTTTGTATCTAATTAGAATAAACCACATTCAAATATTAGACTGAATTCAGTGATTAATAGCACAACTTTCTCAAATAGATTACTCTGATTTCCCCTACATTTCACAACACAAAGTTTGTTAGCAAAATCATATATTTAATATATTCTGGGTCCTAGACTCTTATCAGATATATCATTTGCAAATATCTTCTCCTAGTCTGTAGATTATATTTTCACTTCCTTGAATAGTCATAAATTTAGCTTTTGACAAAATCTTGCTTCCATATAAATCTATAGATACAGTTAACTTAAATTTGTTACTTGGTATTACATACAGAATGGATGGACAACAAGGTCCTACTGCATAGCAGAGGGAACTATATCCAATATCCTATGATAAACCATAATGGAAAAGAATATAAAAAAGAGTGTATATATATGTATAACTGAGTCACTTTGCTATACAGAAGAAATTAACACAACATTGTAAACCAACTATACTTCAATAAGAAAAGAAGAAACAGACTCACAGATATAGAGAACAAATTAGTGGTTACCAGTGGGGAGAGGCAAGATAGGGGTAGGGGATTAAGAGGCACAACTATTAAGTATAAAATAAATAAGCTACAAGGATATATTGTACAGCACAGGGAATATAGCCAGTATTAATAACTTTAAATGGAGTATAATCTTTAAAAATTGTTAATCACTATATTGTACACCTGAAACTTTCATAATATGGTAAATCAACTATACTCAATAAAAAAGAAAAACAAAACAAAAATTTGTTAGTTGGTTTTTGAAAAAAAATTCTTTAAATTTAGATATAATAGTATTTCTCATAAAAATTTACTTCATTGTATTAACACATATTCAAATTACCAGATAAATATTTCTTATAGAATGTGGCCTGAACAAAAAAGAATAAAGCCTAAGTTATGATGGGACAGTTACTTCTGGTTTTCTCACGTGATGCAGGTTGTCATGGAGGGTCTATCAGATTCAGCGGGAAGTGGAAGGTCAAGGGGCACCGCTGTCAGGCTGCGACCTTTCTTATCTCACCCAAGAAGTCATAGGTCTGCTCTGAAATGTCGAAAGGCTCATGGAGCCCCGCTGGCGACAGCAGAGCCTGGAGGGCGCCCTCGTTTTCTTGGCTTTGCTTGAGGAAGTCGGCGATGACCTTCCATCGCGCGGCCTCGGTCTCCTCCTCTGCCCACCTGAACGGAGGCAGGAGCGCAGAGTGGAGGAGGGGAAGCGCGCAGTCGTGGTAAACCAGGAGGAACACGGCCTTCTGGAGCTCCTTGTCTCTCTGCGAAAACACCGGCACCACCAGTGACTGTGAGTGGACCCAGCTCATTACTCCTCAAGTGTTACACTGTACGAGCTCTGTTAACTAGAAGCCGTCTAGGGGGTGGGAGGGAGGTGCGTCAGCGTCTGGCAGCTCAGTCAGGACGTGGACACAACAGGAGTCACCGCGGAGAGAGACAAGTGGTTCTCTCTGAGGGTCTGCAAGGGGCTCCTTGAGGCCAGGGTGCCCCCTGAGTGCCATGGACGTTCCATCAAGCAGACTGGGGTGCCAGAGTCTAATTCCGGGGACAAGGGTGCGGTTCCCGGTAAATGGAACTAAGACACGATGTGAAGTCAGCTGTATTGCTGAATGAGGTCAAGGTGATACGGGGGAAGGGTAGCAAGGGCTCTGCGTGAAATCCAGAGAAGGGAGCCCCAAGCAGTAGGAATGTGTTGCCAGCCCCGCCTCCCCATAACAAGAGCTGGGCAACACCCACACGGGCCGCGGCCCGGCTCCAACAGCTGGGGTGGGCATCACAGCCGGGGTGGCGGCCTACACTGTGATGTGGCCCCCGCAGGCTACCGTGTGTGGACAGGCAGCTCCTACAGGCCCGAGGCCCAGCACCTGTCCACTGCCAAGCTAGAAGGGCATTAAACCTGCCAGTTTTAGTCAAACAAAAACTCAAATAAGGATACAATATATACACTTTTTTTTTTTTTTCAATTTTTAGTGTCTTTGTTCTCCCGTGATTCCTTGAGGATAATGAAAAGTTCAGATTAGTCGTCCTAAAACCATGGACCATGGGCCCCATGCAGCCCACTGCCATCTCTTTTTAGAAATAGTTTTACAGAAAACAGCCCTGCCCAGGTGTTTACATATTGCCTGAAGCTGCCTTGCGTTACAGTGGCAGAGCTGGGTGTTTGAGACAGACCACACGTGGCCTGCAAAGCCAAAAATATTTACTCTCCGGCCCTTTACCAGAAAAGTGTGTCAATCCCAGACGAGAGCAGTCAAGCCACTACTCACTGATCACCGCAAGTTCTGTAATGACCACACTCTCCGGCCACGTAAGCACAGCCACGCCTGCTTTCAATGTGTGCTACAGCTTATGCCAATTTTCTTCTTCCCTCTCCTTACCTGATACGGACTTTGAGAGCTAAGGGAATTTTTTTTTTTTTTTAAATGAGAGAAATTTGATCGCCAACTGGGACACTTTGGCTTAGAAAGTTCCCCTCAGTTCAATAAACTCAGTGATCTGAAATGACTGTCTCGATCAAGTGTTTCCTTTTACACTTGGAATCCATCACCCATACCCTTCTGGGAAGGTGTCTTTGCAACCGTAATAACACCGTTTAACTGTCAAGAGGGATTAGGACCATGGTTACTTCAGCTAAAAAAGAGGCATGATTAGGGTGTGCGGCAGACACGGAGCACAAAACGTGTGACGCTCGGGGTGCACAGTCACGTTACCTTCTCTGATCTTTTTAAGGTGCTCTCTTTCTCAGCCCAGGAACTCTAAAAAGCAAACAGAAATATTATGTTAATCCGAGTATTCACAAGTCTTTGCCACACCTCTGCAACTTCACTCTGTCATTAAACTTACGGACAGGATTACAAACGCTGCACAGATCCTGCACATGTAAGGAGTGAACCTCTAATTAGGTATCGAGTGCTAATGACCCAGAACCAGACTGACTAGGCGGGAGGCATCAGTGAACGATTCCTCAGAAGCCCGTGATGCTTACAAGTCAAAACTAATTTAAGAACAGAGAATCAGTGCAACGCTAACACATGCGTGCAAACTGCACCAACGCAGCACCTAAACAATAAAATACCATTACGCTTTCAAGGTAAGACAGTCACGAAAATAGACAATTCTGCCAAATACCATACTCCTCGACAATTCTGTTTGCCGAGATGAGGACAGGGGACAGGGAGAGGTAGAATGAAGTACAGCTTTGCAAGTAAATATTTCCAATCTGTGCACCAAGTTTCACAAAAGCTTCTTTAAAGAAATAAAAAACCCAGAGTTCAATTAACCCCACAGAAGTATGAATCAAAGACCTTCCAGGGCCCAGCATGGTGCCTTAGCCATAGCGGGCTCTCGTGAAATATCTGTTGAATGAATCAATGTATGTACGTTTTGTATAACGAGTAAATATTAATATACTAATGCTTTATAGGGGAAGAAAGAGAAATTCTGCATTAGCTAACTATAGTGCCAGATGAGCTTGTCTGAAATTACAGATAAGCATATGCCAAGAACATTTTCTTACATCTTTTTGCTAAAACCTCATCATTGCTGTTGACACCCCCTCCCCAGCCAAACCAGCATGTGAAATCAGTTTCAAAGTCTAATAAAAACCTCTGTAGACGATGCTTCCTCCTTCCAACTCCGCCAGGCTGTATGGCCTCCCTCCTTATCAAGAGGACTCACCTCCCAACACAGCTCCCCTCCCTCCTGCGCACGTGCTTTTCCACGTCTCTGTGCTGTCCGGGGTCCCCAAAGCAACACCCTTCATGGGTTGCCCGCCACCGACCACGCTCTCCACCCACAGGATGAGACTGAGATCGCCCTTGACCGTCTACAGACGACATCCCACGTCCGACATCCGACAGGCCAGGCGGGGTCGTCTGCTCTCCTCAAGAGCACGCCCTCTTCCCTCCTGCCTCAGAGTGTTTGCTTGTGCTGACCCTCCCACCTGTGATGTCTTCTTCTCCCGTCCCAGTATGTCGAAACCCCGCTTGGCCCCCAGGCTTTCATTAGGTGCATCTCCCTGAGGACATCTTTAATGAAACAGGCTCCTGATCCTTACATGCTGCCTCCTTTAAATCTGCAAGGACCTGGATTACACATCCCCTACGGCACTTACGTTATCTGAGTATTTGCGTCGCAGGCCTAATACTTGTCGATTCTAATATTTAAGTTGAACTTTGTGAAACTGCCGTTTTTGAAGGTCAATAAATGGCTAAAAATTAGAGGTTTCACATGGTTCAACCTAATATCCAGCTGCTTTTTCATACAACAGATAACATACTTCAAATTAAAATAAAAATGATATGCAGGCCCTGATTCTCCCCTGAAAACTCAGTCAATTTATCTAACAAACCATTTTGGATTTTTGCTCTCAGGACACAATTGGTGGCCACCTTAAGTCAAGGAACAAACAATAGGGAGGAGATTGCAACGGGGTAGAAGGCAGGCACTCCATCTGCTTATGGGGTCAGGGAAGGCAGCCCTGGGGAAGTCACCTCCATAGTAAGAAAGGACAGATGAGACCAAGTTAGCTGGACAACAGACAGGGATCGGGAGACATCATCCAAATAGGGAAGAAACGAACCCCACAGAAGCCTAGAGCTGGTGTCAGAACTCGTTATGCTGTATGTCTAAGCGCCTTTAGGACCCGCCAGGTTTCCATCATGATGCACACTACCCACCCTGAGCGCATCCATCAGGTCGGGCTGCTCCAGGAGCCTGGGGAAGGTGGCCAGCACTGGATTACTAATTAAATCTGAAATACAAAAGAATAAAAAGGATTTTCTATAAACTTCAGCCAATGTGTTTTATAGCAACAGACATAAAAACATGCATTCAGATTGCAATGACTGTGCCACGTGATTTGCTGATAACACATTCTACCCACGTTAACCTCTCGGAGGGCTGGAAGCTGCCCCCTCGGCCTCCATCTGCCCCTATATCCACACCCCAGGGAAGTCTGAAATGAGTCTGGTACCAGGTAGGTAAAGCTTTTAGGTGGGAGTAAAGTGGCTCTGAACGGAATAAGACTAGAACATTTTGTTCTTCTCTGTTTTTTTTCCAACCTCTCTTTCCTCCTCATGAGTGTGGTGTGGTAAGAGAAATCTTCCAGTTAGGAGGCTCCCACACTCTCAGGAGGCTGAGTGGGAACCAGGGGCACCACGGGAAAGGAGGTGGAGGGCGGGCAGCTCCTGCCCAGCCTGGGGCCAACGGATGGTGCTGGATGACATCGGAAGGAATGAGGAGTTGGGGATTCTGACCACGTGCCTACATACTGCGCAGGAGAATACTGACATTTCACAATCAATAGTGGCACGTGGAGGGCTGTGCAAAGAGGCCCACCAGGAAGGACACTTCAGAAACGGCAAGGGCAATGACTTCTATAATCTTGTGTCCTCGGTAGAGAAAAATCCTCTCTCTAGGTCTTACTAAGTTTATTCTGATGCGCAGATTCAAATGAAGCCAACGATTCTGAGTAGGCTTCTCCCTGCCTATAGGAAAACTAATAAGCCTTCTCCTCTTTAAGGAGTCGGGTCGTTCGTGAAGTTTTTCTAGAGTCATTGAAACAAATTCAGAGGCAAGTGACGACTAAAAGGCTTAAACTGTCCTTCCTTTAGAATTACAATTATTCCTTGAGGAATGTTGGTGCTTCTCTGACTCTAGGTAGTTCCATTTCTACCTACCTATCCAGGTGGTGTGTCCCTGGGAGGGGACTCGTGTCTAACCATGAACTCCACTTGTCCATGAGAGCCGAGTCATCATGGGGCTCTCTCTCCCTCTCACTCGATTCTAGCCACACTGGCCTGCCTTCAATTTCAATCTCTCCAGTGCACTCCGGTTTTCTTGCCTTGGGTCTTCAGACATGCTGGTCCCTCTATCCGGAAAGGATCGCCCCCACCCATCTCCCCTGTATGTCTAACTCCTCTCTCAGGTCTTCTCTTAAATATTCCTTGCCCAGAGAAGCCTTCCCTCATCCTATGAATTAATTCAGGTCTTCCTAGGGTACGCTCTTGTTGTGTATTTCCCTTCAGAACACTTGAGGTTGAAAAGGATTATTCATATAATTTTGTGTTTGAAGTCTGTTGCTCCACGAGAGTAGGGATGATGGTGCCTGTCTCATTCATCACTGGGTCCTGGCACAATGCCTGGCATATACTAGGCACTCAATAAAGAATATCCAATAAAATTCAACTTTCTCTGGAGGTAATTCTTACAACACATGCATATCTCTGTGCAAGTTCAATCATGTGTGACAGCTCACTGATTTTTTTAAAATTACTTTTTAACATTTTACTTGGAAAAAGTTTCAAGCTGACAAAAAAGTTGCAAGAGTAAAAATAGAACCCCTGAACACCTCTTACCTGGATTCACCAATTTTATTGATTTTTAAACTTCTTGCATTAAGAACCAGTTATTTTGGGTAATTTTGGTCTCTTTCCAAAAAAGATGATATACATATCAAACACGTAGTAAAAACATTATTAAAGACATTAAAGGAAAATATGATTATATCTGCAATTTAGGATCTCAAGTCCCCAGAATCTGAATGGTAAAAAGTGTATATTGTAAAGAACGGAACACGTACGGAGCTCACACAGGATGCACGCTGAGCACAATGCTTCGCGTGTGAAGTAAGTGATTGACACTGATGCTATTCTAAATATTTTATTCCAAATGTCACCTTCAGAAGCAGAAGATAGAGGCTGGCAGAGGTTACATTTACTCAAAGCATGATGCACTGTTGTACGTGAGGAAACTGCAAAGACTTCTCACCAGCACTGTGCATGCTCATCCTGTCTTTCAGGAGCACGTCACCAAGAATCTGGCGATAAAATATCAACAAATGAACGGAGCACATACTTCCAATTAATGTTTCCGGCAGTAGACTGTTAAAGAAGAAAAAAAATGTATTCATTAAACAATCCCCTATGACCCAACCTACGGTGTTTTTAAAATGTATACTTATTACTCGAATGAAGAGTTTCAAGTTTTGCTTCATTATTGAAAAAATTTTTTTAATAATTTTGAGGAAAACTTCCACTATAAGTTGACCACGTTAAACTTCAGAAAACTTTTATTTTTATGTGTGTACTTTCAAGTTGCAACTCTGGGTTACCATTCCTGTGTTTCCATGTTCGCATATACAGCCATGTTAAATGTTGAATAAAAAATAAAAGTCATCAATTATGTGTTTTAGAAAGAACGGGACTAGTCAGCTACAAGTTTTAACAAAGCCATGTTGCCACCTCACCCGATGTGACGAATGCAGAGGAAACGAGTTCCAGAGGAAACGAGTTCAGACTGTTCCCAGTGCTGGGTGGAACACAGGAGGGTGTGGCAGATCAGACTGAATTCTGACTCTGCTGTGCTACCTCCTAGCTATGTGATTTGGGGTTAATTATTTATTCTCCTTGTGTTTTGGTTTCTTCATTTGTAGAACACAGATAGTCATAGCTGCATCTCAGGTTACTAACAGGATTAAAATGAGGTAAATGTGGAATGCTTAATGCAATGCCTGGTACATACTGTAGCAAGGTCTCAAGGACAAGAAAATTTCAATATTGAAGTTACACTGATATCAGTTTAAAATGGACTGTAAGACCTTTAGGATGTTGTATGTAATCCTCATGGTAACCACACACAAAAAATGTATAGAATATACACAAAAGGAAATCAAAATGTATCATTACAAAAAAAATCAATTAAAAACAAAGGAAGGCAGTAAGAGAGGAAAGGAGGGACAAAAATACCCTTAAAACATACAGAAAAAAAAAAACATATAGAAAACAAATAACAAATGGCAATTAAGTCCTTCCCTATTAGCAATTATTTTACATGTAAATGGATTAAACTCCCCAACCCAAAGACATAGATTGGCAGAATGGATTAAAAAAACAGGATCCAACTATATTGTGTCTACAAGAGACCCACTCTAGATCTAAGGACATTCATAGGTTGAAAATGAAAGGATAGTTAAAGATATTCCATGCAAATAGTAAAGAAAAAGAGAGCAGGGATAGCTATACTAACATCAGACAAGACAGACCTTAAGCCAAAAAGCTGTTACAATGAAAGATATTATATAATGATAAAAGGGTCAATTCATCAAGAAGATATAACAGTTATAAACATATACAACAGACATCAGAGCTCCTAAATATATGAAGTAAACAGTGACAAAAGTGAAGAGAGAAATAGATCTACAATCATAGTAGGGGACTTCAACACCCCACTTTCAGTAAGGGATAGAACAACCAGACAGAAGATCAATAAGGAAAGAGAACTTGAACAACACTGCAGACCAACTGTAACTGGCTGACATATACAGAACACTCTGCCCAATAGCAGAATACGCATTTTTCTCAAGTGCACATGGGACATTCTCCTAACATATGTGGTCATACATTAGGCCACAAAACAAGTCTTAACAATTTAAAAGACAAATTATACAAGGTATATTTTCTTTTTTCCAAAGTACATTTTCTTTTCAACTTTTTTTTTTTTTTTTTTGCGGTACGCAGGCCTCTCACTGTTGTGGCCTCTCCCGTTGCGGAGCACAGGCTCCGGACGCGCAGGCTCAGCGGTCATGGCTCACGGGCCCAGCTGCTCCGCGGCATGTGGGATCTTCCCGGACCGGGGCACGAACCTGCATCCCCTGCATCGGCAGGCGGACTCTCAACCACTGCGGCACCAGGGAAACCCCCAAAGTACATTTTCTGATCACAATGGAATGAAACTAGGAATCAACAGCAGAAGGAAAACTGGAAAATTCACAAATATGTGGATATCAAACAACATACTTTTAAGCAACCAATGGCTCAAAGAAGAAATCACATGGGAAATCAGAAAATATCTTGAGACAAATAAAATGAAAATACAACACACCAAAACTTATGGGATGCGGTGAGAGCAGTGTTAAGAGGGAAAATTTATAGCTATAAATACTTACATTAAAAAAGAAGAAAGATTTCAAATCACCAACCTAACTTTACACCTTAAGGAGCTTGAAAAGAAAAACAAATGAAACCCGAAGGTAGCCAAAGAAAGGAAATAATAAAGATTAGAGCAGAAATGAACAAAATGGAGAATAGAAAACTACAGAGAAAACCAATGAAAGCAGAGCTGGTTCTTTGAAAAGACAAATAAAATCGACAAACCTTTAGCTAGATTGACTAAGAAAAAAAGAGAGAAGACTCGAGTTACTAAAATCAGAAATGAAAGGAGACATTAGTACTGATTTTACAAAAATTACAAAGGATTATAAAAGAGGACTATGAATAATTGTATGCCAACAAATTAGATAATCTAGATAAAACAGACATACTTCTAGAAACACACAATCTAACACGACTAAATAATAAATACAAAATCTGAACAGACTTATAACTAGAAAGGAGACTTAATGGTAATCAAAAACCTGCCAACAAAGAAAACCCCAGGACCAGATGGCTTCACTGATGAATTCTACCAAACATTTAAAGAAGAATTAATACCAATTCCTCTCAAACTCTTCTGAAAAACTGAAATGAAAGGAATACTTCCAAACTCATTCTGTGAAGCCAGCATTATCCTGATACCAAAGCCAGACAAAGACACAACAAAAAAACTACTGAGCAATATCCCTGATGAACACTGATGCAAAAACTCCTCAACAAAATACTAGCAAACATAATTCAACAGCACATTAAGTTTTATACACTATGACCAAGTAGGATTTATTCCTACAAGGCCAGGATGGTTCAAAATAAGAAAATCAATCGATGTAATACACTAGACTAACAGAATGAAGGAAAAAAAAAAACAACGTTATTTTCTTAGCTGATGCTGAAAGCATTTGATAAAATGCAACATATCTTCATAATAAAAACACCCAACAAACTAGGAATAGAAGAAAACTATCTCAACGTAATAATGGCTGTATGTGAAAATCCCATAGCTAACCTCATACTCAATGGAGAAGACTGGAGGCTTTCCCTCCAAGATCAAGATCAAAACAAGGATGTTCGTTTTCACCATTTTTATTCAACATATTACTGGAAGCCCTAGCCAGAGCAGTCAGGCAAGAAAAATGAATAAAACGCATATAAGTTAGAAAAAAAAGAAGTAAAATTATCTCTGTTCACACACAACGTGATTTCAATATTGAAGTTACATTGATATGTGACGAATGCAGAGGAAACACACACACACACACACACACACACAAAACTGTTATAATAAAAAAATGCAGCAAAGTTGCAGGATATAAAATCAACATACACAAATCAGTCATGTTTCTATATACTAACAATGAACAATTTGAAAAGGAAATTAAAACTTTAATTTCATTTAATAGCATATCTAATAGCATTGAAAGAAAGAAAATACTTGGGAATAAAAAATAGAAATAAAATTTCAAATATTGAGATTTCAAAATATAATCTGGAAATACAAGTGAGTGCTTTAAAACCTGACACCTGGTACACACTAAATACTTACTGAGAATATTGAGCACCAGAATTAACCTTAGCAGATACTCAAGAAAATGTCTTGAATCATTCTAAACACACATTTTCTGTGTTATTTTTAGAAATACATGAACTCTGTCACTAAGCATGAAGAATGAGCGTATAGGAAATCTCGAAAACCTTGCAAACAATGTCCTCTACCAAGAGGAAGATGTCTTTGGGCTAAGGGAAACCACCTAAAGTTAAAGGAGACTTTAACTTCAGAAAATAATCCTTCACTCTAACTTCTAGGATGAGAATTTTAGAAGGGAAAATTAATCACAGAGGTAACATCCAGGCTTCCAGCCTGCTGAAAGAGAGCAGAATGAACGTGACCCCAGGGATGGTACAGGAGTAATGAGTTCCTATGACTAGTTTCACGGAATTTAGATACGTATCCTTGACCACTCCCTAACCCTTGCATTCTAGAAATGCCCCAAAACACAAGATAGATTCTCTTACCACACTTATATTCATATAGAGCATTTCATGCACAGAGCCAGAAGTCACCCTTTTCCAGCCCCGCTAAAATTCTGATCGTGCATAGCCCTGACCTAGATTTCAGGCTGGCTGCAGGGGAACATTTAAGCTGCCTCGATGCCACCACACGCCTTCTCGGTGTTCATGCTGTGATTCCATGTTGTTCTACACCCCGCCCTCCGGTCTATGGGACATGTGGGCAGTGTTTCAGCAGCATGCCCAAACTCATGTCTCATGCTGAAAAACAGACGTTAATTCTACGAGGGGAAGGGGTGGAACCTTCCTTCCATTCTCTCCTCCCCTTCTCTCCCAGATCGGCCTGCTCTGTCTGGCAGGCATCGCGGCCAGCCTGCAGTGGAGGCCTTCAGCGCCCACAGTGCCGGCACTCCTTTCCTTCTGGTACCTCCCCATAACACGAAGCAACGCTGCTGGCTCTTTATCAGAGCTTCCTTTAGGGAAATCCTTTGATTTTCCCAAATCCAAGGTGACCAGGAAGCTCTGAGCTGAAGAAGTAAAGATATACTTCTTTCTGACCTCACAGACAGACCAACAGAAGGGCAATAAACATGATACTGGGCCCCCGGCAAGCAACACTATTACTTCATTTATTTTTAGCAATAATACAATGGAAGTAAAAGAGAAAAAAAGATGGCATACATCCAGAGAGCAAAGGAAAATAAACAAATTTGTAGCAAATTTATATACAGGCATGTAGCCTACTGCCACAGACCAGTATGTCTCGGTATTCAGAACCCGTGCTCTGGGAGTCTGGGTCTAAATTCAGGGCTTTCCCTCATCAGAGGCTTAAAAGCATGCATTTGGCCAAATCACACCAAGTTAAACCCCATCAAAAAAACAGCTCCCAAATCAGAAAGGCAAGTCTTGGTGAAACAGGAGGACCTATCTGCTCCCTCTTCCGTCTCAGCTGAGGGTCAACATGACCAGAGTTGTCTCCATAAAAGGAGACCCAGGGACAGGATTCTGGTGCTGTTTCTTTGGTCAAGGAGACGAGTCCACGTTGATTCATCGGATTTTCACAGGGCTCCTGACAGCCAAAGGAGACACACACGGAAGACTGCTGGCTGGTGAGAGGGCAGGATGAAGCCAACCAGCAAGGATACTGGGGAAACTGGGCACTAATGCAGATTATAACTGGGCTTCCCACCCTTGGCCCTGCCCGCAGTTTTGTAGGTCCCTTGGCATAACAAAAAGAGCCCCATCCTTTCTCCTTCAAGCAGAGAAATCTGGCTAAACAAAGATGAAGGGTTTATTCATTTATTTTTATTTTTTTTAACGTCTTTATTGGAGTATAATTGCTTTACAATGGTGTGTTAGTTTCTGCTTTATAACAAAGTGAATCAGTTACACATATACATAAGATGAAGGGTGTTTTTGTTTTTGTTTTGTTTTTTCTTTTGCGGCACGTAGGATCCTAGTTCCCCAACCAGGGATTGAACTCGTGCCCCCTGCAGTTGAAGCGTGGAGTCTTAACCACTGGACCACCAGGGAAATCCCAAAATATGAAGTTCTTAAGCAAGGGAGAGTGGGGACAGAGGCGGGATGGGCGTTTGGAGGAGTGGAGGAGGAGGGCTGTTGGTAGCATCATCCGCCTTATTTCCCCACTCACTGCAGGTGGCAGGTCAGGGAGAGGAGACTGAGAAGGGTCAGCCCCATCTCAGGCTCCACCTCCAGGGTGCACAGGCCTGATTCCAGCCTCTCATCCTGGACCCACAGCACAGCCCTCGCACCCCAGCCCATGGCCCGGCAGTAGGGCCCAAGGCCTCTGGCTTCACCATGCCCACGGTCTGCCCCTGGGAGAGCCTGCCTGAGGCCGGCGGGCCCTGAAGCCCACGCTGGACACCACCAGGAGAGCAGAGCGCATTTCTGCATCAGGCAAAGTGGAGCGGCAATTTCAAGACGGTGCTCAGGTCTCTCTCGGGGCTCTGGGAGGAGACAGGAGCGGACACCAAGACGAGGTGGGGGAGGCCAGGGACCGCAGAAGGCAGAGCAGAGCGCCCGACCACTTTTACACCAGCAGGAAGAGCTCTACTTGGAAATTATTTCACAAACATTTTTCGGGTGCCTACTGTATGCTATAACCAACAAGGGCTCAGTTCCTGACGTCAGGGGATGAGGACCTGGGACCCTTCTTTGAGAACCCAGCATGCAGAAGAACGTTCATTGCTTTGGGGGAACGGGCCCGCCCATCTGACCGCCGCACACCCAAGTCAGATTTGATCTCTAGATTGTAAAGCGTATCTGCAAACTGATATTTGGGGCCAAAGAAACACTATTAAGAGCTGTGCTTGACAGACACGCTTGGGAGTGCTTCGGACTCTCGAAAGCTTATCAACAAGGGGGGTAGCGGGAGGCTGAAGACGTAGGAAGAATGAGGCCAAACAGGATTCTAGCTTTTCTTCTACAAAGACCGCTACTGTGCTTCTTCTATTAATCTTGAAAAATAAAAACTGTCCAAGGAAAGATTGGCCAAAAGAAGGGAATTTATAGGCTCTATGAACATCCAGGAAAAAAAAAAGCCAAGAGGATGAATACTACCCACGAACACATAATTAATGGTTATTGAAAGATTTAACTGTTAACACTATAATACACATTTCAGTACTAGAGATAAGAACACGGGATATTTAAACTGGGAGCATGATCTAGAATGAGAAAAGCAACCATTCACAGAGGTGGGCCAAGGTTCCCTGCTTCCTGATAATCCGCGAGCAGAGAGCAGGTCACTGTGGGACCAGTCAACTGCATCAGTCTCTGTTCCCGAGCCACGCTCCTCCCTCTGCCCCTCCTGTCCACTGCGTACTCTCCACATCTCCACGTCATCAACTGGCACCTCTTCCAAACCTTCAAAGCTTCTTTTGAATCCCCCGATCCTACCAGCTACATAGCACATCCTCATCTGAACAAATGTGATGACAGTGCCAGCCACCTGTCATTGTATTTACATTTATCTAGACATATGACAATAGTAATAGCTATAGCTGTTTATAATATAGCTATTACTATATAAGAGTAATAATTATAGCTGCTACTTATTGTGTGTTACTGGGTGCCACGTACTAGCTAAGTGTTTTATATATTTTCTTTTCCTTAAACCTCTTTAGTGCTTGATGGGGTTAATACTATTATGATGTCCATTTTAAAGACGTAGACCTTGAGACCCTGAGAAAGATGGTAAATGACTTGTCCAAGAGGTTACTGAGTTAGAGATGGATCGACCTGGGATTCTACCAGTGCAAAATCTCCCTGAAGAAAATGCAAATTAAAACCACCAACAGCTACCACTAATCATTTATTAAAATGGGCAAGGACTTCTCTGGTGGCACAGTGGTTAAGAATCTGCCTGCCAATGCAGGGGACACAGGTTTGATCCCTGGTCCAGGAAGCTCCCACATGCCGTGAAGCAACTAAGTCTGTGTGCCACAACTACGGAGCCTGTGCTCTAGAGCCCGCAAGCCACAACTACTGAAGGCCGTGTGCCACAACTACTGAGCCCAAGTGCTACAACTACTGAAGCCCGCGCCTAGAGCCCGTGCTCCGCAACAAGAGAAGCCACCGCAAGAAGCGCATGCACCGCAACGAAGAGTAGCCCCTGCTTGCCGCAACTAGAGAAAGCCTGCGCGCAGCAACGAAGACCCAATGCAGCCAAAAATAAATAAATATATAAATAAATAAATAAAACGGGCAAAATAGAAAAAAATTGATCATATCAAATGTTGTCAAGAATACGGAGTAATTGGAACTCTCATATGTGGCTGGAGAGGGTGTAAAATGGCCTCTAGTCATATTGGAAACCAGTTTGGCAGTTTCTTATAAAGTTAAACAAACACCAGATGATCCAGTAATCCCACTCCTAAGTACCTACACCCACGAGAAAGGAAGACATGCCCACACACACAAAAACTCTTACGCAAATATATAGAGCAGCTTTATTCATAATTGCCCAAAGCCAGAAACAACCCAAGTATCTATCAACTAGTGAATAAATAAACACATTAGGGTATATCCACCAAATGGAATACCAATTAGAACAAAAAGGAAAAAACCACTAGCATAGGCAACAGCATGGGTGTATCTCAACTGCGTTACGCTAAATGAAAGAGGCCAGACTCAAAAGGCTATGTACTGTGTGAGTCCATTTGTAGGACATTCTGGAAAAGGCAAAACTGTTGGGAAAGAAAACAGAGGAGCAGTAGCCTGAGGCCGGAGCTGGAGAGTTGATTACAAAGGGGCATCAGTTCACTGTTTATAGTGATGGAAATATTCTCTATCTTGACCGTGTGGTAGTTATATGACTGTATATACTTGTCAAAACGCAAAGAACTTAAACTAAAAAGGGCAAATTTTACTGCGTGTAAATTATACCTCAACAAACTTGACATTAAAAAAAGTTCCCCAAAGTTCCCTGAGGGTAGGACTGTGGATGATAAGTCCCGTTGACTCAAAAGTTTCTATACTATTTCTGACCGCATCTATCATTTGTGCTAACTGGTAAACAGAAGAATAAGCTAATCTGAAATGTATTATTATTCCATTTCCCTACTGATCCTTGGCAGAAGAATTAGTGAGGAAAAAAAAAAATTAACAGAAGGTGACCAAGCACGTGGAGAAGCCAGAAACAGAGATGGTCCACAAACGCTGAATGGGCCCAAGTTCACCGGACAGGTAACAGCAGGTACCAACCTTAGCATGTTCCTTGATCTTCTGTTCAAAGATCTCAGTTTTACTAGAAGCTGAGGCTGCCTTCTCACTGTCATCATCTGATGGAAAACACTACCATGTGCTTTAAAAAAATAAAAAATACATCTCAAAACTTTAAGTGCTTAGGCAGTGAATATAATAAAATAGAGTATTTTATATACATTTTTTAATATATAAAAATAAGACAAAGTTTTTTTCAGCACCAGTGGGGCTGAATTGTATGAGAGGCAGGAGTCGTCCATACGCCCTAAATGGACTGATGAATATGATGTGCCCTAAGGACCTTCAGAATACACCCAACCAGCCCACCCCTGGAGCTTCCACTACATCAGATACCGTGACAGCATCACTGCTGCCAGATGACAAAGAAAAAAGGAGTTTAAAAAGCACGTCTGACTCCAAGTAGAACCAGCTGCATCCCAGATCCCAGCTCCTTCCTGTTCCAAGAAGGTGGGATTGGCATTGCTGGGGCGGCAGCAGTGCTGTGTGTCCTAAATCACTAAGCAAGGAGGGGGATGTCTGAGGAGCTAGAGGGGAGTTTCAAACCCATCAGGCTCTGAGCTCCAAGAGGCAAGGGCCATATCTGCCTTACTCTCCATTTTCCCTTTATCTAGCACAGTGCCTGGTCAATGAACACATTAAAAGATGCTCAGTATTTTTGGAGGGCAACCTGGTATGTATACCACAATTTCAAATGTCTACACCCTTTGACCTAGCAATAGGCAATCACTGAATTGGCCTATTCTATTAATTCTGTGGCCCAGTGTTCAACGAAAAGGAACCAGTACAGGGTCCTCATGCATCCTAATTTCCTACGTTAGAGTCTCAAATATGCTACCAAGAAAATAAGCACTTAGATAAAAATGATTAAGATTTTAACATCAAACGACATATTTTAAAAAATGTGAATTCACGTGAAAAGTGTTACGCTTATTATACTATAGGTATCTTCTCCGATGTATCTTCTGCTTGTTTAATCTTTAAGGAAAGGAAAGAAAGCAACACAGAAGAGTGGTACCTCTTCTGGATACTGAAGGGTCCACTTCAACACCTTTTTCATAAGGGGTACCTCCATTCAAGAAGAGTTCATAAGTTCTACAAAAGAAAAATATACCATGATGGATACGTGTTATGGACATTGAGAAACAGTAGAGTCAGTAGTGGAACGTTTTTTAGCACAGACGCATTCACAGACATTTTATTTATGCCTCATTGGTAAATGAGAATGAAGGTTGTTGATACCTCCATGGGGTTATCATCTCAGTAAATAAAGTCTCTTTCTTAACTATGAACCACAGAAAATACATTTTTCTACATAAAAATGAGAAAGATTAATTAATGTCATTAAGGTCTTTTGACTTTAATGACTCCTGTTATTTAAATGCATTTTTCAAATGTTTCAAATCATCACTGGAAATAAAGCTATTATGAATTCATACTATTTTTAAAATATAAAAGTAACAGGTAGATTGTTGTAAAAAGTTCAAATGGCATACAAATGATAAAAAATAAAAAATCCCTCCCCCCTTCTTTCCCCCCTAGTTTGGTAGCCCCTTGTCCTATCTGTTTCAATACAAATGGAAACAAACACATACATTTAAACAGTAAATCTTAAACTGACACACGTTTAAAGTTGCTTACTCTGTAAGTGTGGAAGCAGAAGGTAAGAGGCCTCCTTAATCCTGTGGCACCACCTCCCCAGTTCTGCTCCCCAGAGACAACCTCCGGGAACAGTTTACACACACGCACATGAACACAGCTCTTTGCGAACAGAAGTGGAGTCAGCACACACACAATTCTGCAACTTGCCGTTTTCATATAATAATATACATTGGAGATGTTTCTGTATCAATACATAGGCCTCCACCTCATTTAAAAAATAGCTATGACTTCACTTTAAGAAGGATTGGATAAACACACTTTTCCCTCCCACTAAGCACACTGAAAAACCCTGAACAGTATTAAAGACAAAAAACAAAAGCAGAAAAACAAAAACAACCCACAAGAAGCCTGGGCCTCTCCATCTACAGGCAGTGGCTGGGGAGGTTGGGTGTGATAGAGTGCCCCTCCCCCTCCCACTGGGGTAACATCAGAGGAGGGCTTTTACCTCCGTCCAGTGGTAAGGAGGTCACGCCCACCCCTGCAGTATCAGTAAAGATGGAAGAGGGGTGCATTATCTGAATTAAACCTTTGGGCTTGGGAACTATTATGATCCCATTTTAAAGATGGGGGAAGTTGAGGCTTGCAGACAACCTGCTTACAGTTACATGGACAGAGCCCAGGCTACAGCCCTGAATTTTACCATTCCAAATCTGGGATCTCAATCATCATCCTAGTGACTGCCCATCTGTATCTCTTCTGTGGGTTTCTTATCTTCCAGGCTTAGATTTGTGTGTGTGTGTCCATTTTCAAATTTGGATTGGCTTCTTCTTAATTTTTGAAGGCTCTTTTTGTATTAGGGATGATAATCTCGTGACTGTTATGTATATATTGCAAATGCATTACAAATATTTGTTTTTGGTCTTAAATTTTAAATTTGTTTACAGTGGCTGCTGCTACAATTTCCATGTACCACCTACGGAAGAAAGGCAGAGTCACGGAGGACCTGGGGACCCCAGACTCAGCTTTCTCACTCTTTGGCGAGAATGAGGCTCTATTTCAGCACTGTGAAATGTACTAATACCACAGGAAATCACTGGAAGAATATTCTCAGCGGACAACCGGTGCAAATATCTTATAAAATACCGTGGCTACCTGTGTCATTTCTTCCCCGCTAAGATGAGATCATGTGTGCTGTTTTCATATACTACCTAAAAGAACATTAAAATCAACAGTAAAAGCCCTCTCCACACAAGTTACTGAAATGTAAGTAATACACTCTGGAAACCTGAGGTATCTAGATTCTAAAAAAAATGAATTTCCACAAAATTACCCGTTTGGAAGGAATATATAAGCCAACTTACTTTGCTGGAATAGGAATTCCACTGGCATCAAAAAGTTTAAGAAACACCCAGCCACAACTTAATTCTCCTCTCTCACCAGTTGACTAGAAAATAAAACAAAGTGTATGAAAATTAATGTCTGAATCAGTCAAATCTATAAGCACATACCAAGTTCTTCTAAAAGGAATAAAACTAGTATTTGCCTTTAGAACTAAAAAATTCTTCACAAGAAAACAAAGTGAAACCCAGTGGAGTCCCATTTGACTTGCAGGCCAGATGGTAAAGGCAGGATATAAAATGAAAATCTCTTGTTAAATTGCTCCTGAAAAACCCCTAAAGCTGATGATATGACGACTGTTACTATTGCTTCTTAAGTGACATAAATATGCAGTGGGATGATTCCAGATCACCTCAATATACGTGAGCGTAGGAGGCTCTGTCTTAGTAAGAAATGGAATGAGCCAATTAAAGCATTCAAGGGTCCTTCTGCTCAGAACTTAACCCAATGTCAACTGTCAGAGGCGTCTGGGGTTCACCTGGGGGACCTGCTCCTGTCCTACCCACCCGCAGCAGACGGATGAATTTGCCTTAAAGAAATGAAAGGATGGTATTACACCATTATGGTATTACACCATTAACATAATAAAACATATAATGGTATTACATATGATGGTATTACACCATTAACATAATACAAATCTCTGGGTTATCACGAGGCTCAGCACACATTCTACACCTATCTATGGAAATACATAATTATTACCACAGAGCCACACCCACTGATTCAATAGTCTACATGATGTAAATTAATCCAAGTTTCTGGTGTTCCCTTTATAAAAATTACCCCTCTGCCAGGTCCCTTCATTAGAACGCTCATTTACGAGGTTAGGGGCACTCTGACCCTCCAGGACAGAGCTAAAGCACAGTGCTGCAAGGCCGCTAGCATCTTTTATCACTTTCTGCAAGGTCTTATGTTTTTCCAATCTTCATTCTTTAAAAGCACTGGAGTTCGCTCAAGCTATAAATGTAAACAAGTACACTTATTTTAAACACTAATGGAAAAGTAGCATCATAAAAAAATTAGAATCACTGTCACTCTCATTCCTCAAGAGATTAAAATTCTGTTACACATAAAAACCTCGATTATTTTACTAAAGACAGACATAAGGGAAAACTTCCCCTTTGACACGTTAGAAAGCTGTGTCTTTCAACTGACATACATTGCGAATATAAGAAATTCCAAGTTCAAATAATATTCCAAGATCTGGAGAAGAAGAATTGGACCTGATGAAACAGTCACCATCAAGCAAGCAGGGCAAGATGCCAGTAACCTGAAATGATAGCAAAAACGAAAATTACTAATAAACATGAAAAATGGTTGGAGGATAAACAATGAGGTCCTACTGATAGCACAGGGAACTATATTCAATATCCTGTCATAAACCATGATGGTAAAGACTATGAAAAAGAATGTATATATCTGTGTAACTGAATCACTTTGCTGTACAGCAGACATTAACATAACACTGTAAATCAACTACACTTCAATAAAATAAATTTTTTTCAAAATGGAGGGAAGGTTCAGCTCTATTCATCTATAAATAGTTTATGCCGCTGCATCATAATAAAGGTCTTTTAAAGGAAACAAAAAGCAGATGGACTGGACTCATCTATACCAATGATTTGAAATTTTAAAATGTAATTTTTGTGTTGAAGAAAACTACCTTTACGTTCACTTACTCTATGCTTAGAGCAGAGGCTAATGTGAAACAAGCACTGTACCAAGGTCTTCAGAGGTATCACAAAAATAGTTTGATAAGATTTTTTTGGTGGGGGGCTGTGCCACGCGGCACGCGGGATCCTAGTTCCCCGACCAGGGATCGAACCTGTGCCCCTTGCAGTGGAGGTGCGGAGTCCTAACCACTGGACTACCAGGAAATTCCCTGATAAGATATTTATATTTATATTAACCGCTGTCCTTTGGAAACAGAACTAAAATTGCAGACTGCACACACACTTGCTCAACTTTCCTCAGGCATGCCTTGGAAATTTTCCTTTCCTTCCCTTCTGCCCTTTCCATTCCCCCTCCCTGGACAACTACATTCCTCTTCCTTGCCTATAAAATCCTACCCATCCTTCAAAGTTTAGTTTCTCTTCTATAAAACCTGCCCTGAGCCTAAGAACTAGAATTAATTTCACCCTCCTCTGTGCTTCCACAGCACTTGGATCCCCAAGTGCTGCCTGTGTGACATTACATTCTGCCTACGTGACAGTTATCAAAAGCACCCACTCCTTAGAGCGACTCCAAGGATTAGATGAGAAAATGCACATCACGGCCTACCTCAGCGCCTGGCACGCAGTCAGAGCTCCATAAATAGAGGATACTGGTGTTTATGTGTCTTCTCTACTAACGTGTAAGCTCCCACAGTACCTAGGAAGAATGCCTCACACCTAAGGACGCTTAATTTCATTCAACAAAGCAACATACACATATTATTTATCCCTCCAAACAGTTCATCTTCATATCCAGGAAAACCTTGGAAAATTCTACCCTAACCACTTCACATGCACAGAGACGCACTATCAGAACTGTGAAGTACTGTGTCAAAATGGAAGCAGTAGGGGGACTTCCCTGGCGGTCCAGTGGTTAGGGCTCCGTGCTTCCACTGTAGAGGGCGCGGGTCTGATCCCTGGTTGGGGAACTAAGATCCCGCACTCCGCGCGGGGCGGCCAAAACATAAAAAAAATAAAATAAAAGGAAATTAACACAAAAAACAGTAGAACAATTATATTGTTACAATTTAAAGAAATGTAAGCAGTAGGATGCTTAGAAGATCAAACTGGACTTGTAGGAGTCGCGTGGTAGACAAGTGTGGACACACACAGCCCACAGGCAAGGTGGCCGGGCCTCCCCCACATGCTGTGTCCTCTCAGTGAACCTCTATCTTGCTGTAAGATCTTCTGATGCAATAGGAGAAGGTTAATGAAGGGTTCTCAGGGGCAGTGACATGAGGGAGTTAGTTGTGGGAGGGAAGTAATGAAACTCTGGAGGTAGGAAAAAAGTAAATAGAACTATAGAAAATTAATGTTATTAAAAGAACATAAAGATATCTTCGTCTCCACTGGCATCTATGTGGCACTGACTCGGTGGTTTCAAGCCACTTAACCTCATTCCAGCCTTTGTTTGTCCCAGTCTTGACAGTCCCTGGGTGTACTGACCAGTTCCCTAGGCGTCACCCTTGATTTTTATCTGAAGAAAGCACAACTCTCACGAGCACAGTTGGAGACTGCATTTTTGAAAAACATTTCGTAAGTTTTCTCTTTCTGTTTTCATTTTTCATCAGAGGGAATTTTCTAGAATTAAACCTTGCGATCCATTGAATGAGATGATTCATAGGCATTATAACTTTGGTGAGTCAGAAACATGAGTAATTGTTATCAAAGTCCTCAAAGAACATTAATCTAAAGATTCAAATCTGGCCCCATATATTCTGTGTTAAATACAAATACATTATTTCAGGAACACACTTTGACAATCCTGCCTTAGAAATTAATCATATAATACTTATCAGGTAAAAGAAGTTCACGTTTCATTCCATTCTTCTTACTTCCATTCACAAGTAAGCAGGTTACTTACCTGGGGAGAAAAGGTCCATGTTTTGGGTTTCTTAGGTTGCCACGTGGCCCTGACTGTATGAATGTTGCTCAGAACCTGAAATGAGATTTTCCCATTTGAAATCATATTGTAGAAAGCTCTTTGAAACATGATCACTTCCAGGTCCCAAACAGTTAACAGTGGGGCAGAGGGAGAGGGGGATATTTCATTTCTTACTTTGTGTAACTCTGTAATTCTTTTTTCTTTTTACATCAAGTATTATACATACATAACATTTAAAATGATTAACAAAAAAACAAGTGTTACAGCGCTTATAACACAACGGAAGAACTGATAAATGAATTCAGACTCAGATCTTTGCACTAGTGATAAACTGTGTTACGTGAAATACTTAATATATGAGATAGATTAACCAGAAAATTCAGAGAAATTTTAGGTATGAACGACCTTTTAAGAAATATGACCCACAAGAGCATTTTATGTGCAATCCATTACCCTGCCATCAAGAGAGACACTGCTACCCTCTCAGATACACGGTTACAGTTTTCTTCAAGATCCCTAGGCCTATAAAGTATCCTTTTCCTGGAATTTAATCTCTTATAAAATGCTATTGCAAGAAGTTAGTCCTATAATATATACAAATCAATAGAATACAAAAGGAGCAAAAACTGTAAAAAAAAAAAAAAGAGTTCAAATTCTATAAAGTTATGGCCAAAACTGACATTTTCCAGAAGAACAGATAATATACAATTTTTATTTTAGATAAAAATATTTTAGTATAGCATTTCTAAAACTAAGCTTTAAAAATAATTAGAAATCATCCTGAACGTGTCCTATGAGGTCAAATTCAATTCACTGCCCTCTGTGTTGCTATTGGCAAGCAACTAGGAGGATCTCATGGGCAGCTAAGTTGTTTTCCACAGAGAAAGTCTCCATTTCCTTCCACAACTAATATAAATGAATTTATTTAAACCCTTTCTAAAATGATATATATTCTCAGACTGGGCTCTTGGAGTACAAACTCCTTTTGATTACTATCTGGTGTCTAATCTAAGACTGCATTTTATTTATTCCAAGGTCCTTCTTGGTTTTTCAAGAAGTGTTCCCCACTTCTAATATCTAAGAAGTCCCTTGAAATCATTGAAATTGAGATCTCATACTATCTCTGCTTTTATCTTCTCAACTTGGAGAATGCTGATTTTGATTGAGGAAAAACTTCCTCTGCTTGATAATTTTACATCCTTCTTGAGTTACTGACTCTGAGAGCTAAAAAGGACTTAGTCCAAACATCTCATTATACATTTGAGAAAACTGCCTCGAGAGAGGATGAATGATTGGCTCAGAGCATAAGGATGAAATAATCAAGGGTTCAAAATTTTAGAGATTTTTCCACTTAGCAAACTGCATCAAGAATGCATAAGGGGGGCTTCCCTGGTGGTGCAGTGGTTGAGAGTCCGCCTGCCGATGCAGGGGACGCGGGTTCGTGCCCCGGTCCGGGAAGATCCCACATGTCGTGGAGCGGCTGGGCCCGTGAGCCATGGCCGCTGGGCCTGTGTGTCTGGAGCCTGTGCTCCGCAATGGGAGAGGCCACAACAGTGAGAGGCCCATGTACAGAAAAAAAAAAAAGAATGCATAAGGGGGACCTCCCTGGTGGTCCAGTGGTTAAGACTCCGCGCTCCCAATTCAGGGGGCCCGGGTTCGGTCCCTTGTCAGAGAACCAGACCCCGCATGCCACAACTAAATATTCCGCATGCTGCAACTAAAAGACCCCGCGTGCCGCAACGAAGATCCTGTGTGCCGCAACTAAGACCCGGAGCAGCCAAATAAATAAATATTTAAAAAGCAAACAAACAAAAGAATGCATAAGGACTTCTGCTCAAGATGAATTTATGCTTCAACAGAGCTGCTCTGCTCCAAACATAAAGCAGTGCCACTTAAAAAGACAGAGGAGGACCCAAAAGTGAGATGAATATTTCAGTGGCCCATAAACAGAAGAGAAAAACAAAGAATAGGGCGAGACTAAAACTGGGGGTCTCCTGGGCTCTGAGTCTAGAGTGGGACGTGGTGACAAGGAGCCGGATTTGTATGTTACAGAGGCTAATGGTACTCAACACATGATAGAGGAACAGAGACTGCCTTATTGCTTGAAGCCAGTAGGGTGGAAGAAAGATGGTGGGCAACCTTCCTCCTCATAGGAAGTAAAGAGCCTAAGCAGGAAGGACAAAGATGGAGCCATGACACCAGGATCAGAACCAAGTAAACAAGTGAACCTTTAAGTGAATCGCTGATGTCCCTGACATCAGCTTAGATCAAGAACGCTAAACTTCACTGTAAGATCTGGTTCTGGACTGGAGTTTGGAGGTAGCAACCACAACACCATTAGATTGGTGGGGCTTGGCTGGGGGGGAAGGGTAAAATATCTTCTGCATAAAATGTGCTTCTAAGGACACATGAAGAAATCAAATACTTACAATACAAGAAACAACCCAGAGCATAGATATTAACAAAATATGTCACTATACATAATTACATATTTACTGTTTTTTAAAAAACAGATTTGTTTGCATTAAAAAAAAAAAACCAAAAAACTTCTAAGCAATGATGACAAGATGGGCCAGTAGGTAGGTAAAGCATGTGAGTATCTTTGGTGTGTTAGGAGAAAGAAATATGGAGTTTAGATTTGTGAGAATAATCTACAGCTAAGTAAGTAGGCTAAACATTTACATATTGCAAACTGAGAGGCTTCAATAGAACTAAGTGACAAGGCCATGGGTAGCTGTTACGTTTTTTTCTGCATGTTTCTATGTATTTGAAATAGTTACTAATTTAACAAATATTGCTAATTCCAGTAAAAGTCAGATTGTGGTATAAAATACATGTAAAAGGAAAAGAATAAACAAATTGGAAGATTGTAATGTTTTAAGATAAGAGTCTAAATGTGAGATTTACACTTGCTTTCTATTTCTTTTATTATTGGCAAAACTAATACAATTACTTGATGTATTATTTCTTACTGAGTTCTTAAGGGTTTTCAATCAATTTTTAAGGATGAAACATACAATGGTGGTTAATTATGAAATGTGTCAAATATATATCAAATATATATTAAATATATATAAATATACAAGTTAAAAGAAACTTATAGTGAACACCTATAAGCTTATCACCTAAATTCTGCCATCAATATTTTACTATACTTGCCTTATCACATATATCTTCTGTCCATCCATCAATTCACCTAATTTTTTGATACACTGCAAACTTGCAGACATAAGTAAACTTTCCTCTAAATACATTAGCATGCATATCATTAGCTAGAGTTCATCATTTGTTCACAGTTCTTTTTTTGATCGAAAATTTAACACAATGAAATTCAGTAACCTTAGTTTTTATCTTCTTGTAATGTCCACAATGGAGACAGGAAAGTGGGCTGACTAGGGGTCATAGGTCCTGAGGAATGACACAGTGAGTGCTGTCTCTGGAGGCCTAGAGAGGAGCCTGAACTTCCATTAGGGCCCAAAAGTAAGGAGGCACACCTACCCCCAGGGGTGTGGGCAGAGGCCAAGTGGGGAATCTGGACTTCCATTCTCACCTGGCAGTAATGGTGTCAGAGGCCTGCTAAAATAGAAGTTAAACTTATTAAGATCCAGAGACTCCCAACACTCAAAATGTCCAGGATACAATAAAAAAAAGAAAAAAATCATTCATTATACCAAGTACCAGGAAAATCTCAACTTGAATGAGATTGGTATCAAAAGACACCAATACTGAGATGACACAGATATTGGAATCATTTGACAAGCATTTTAAAGCAGCCATCTAAAAATGTTTCAATAAACAACTATGGAGATGCTTAAAAGAAATTTAAAACATAGAAAGAAATACAAAGTCTCAAGAAAGAAATAAGGAAATCTCAACAAAAAAATGAAAGATAAAGGAGACCCTAATGGAAATTCTAGAACTGGAAAATACAATAACCAAGATTAAAAACAGACACACACACATACCTACACAAGTCACTGAAGAGACTCAACCACAGAACAGAAAAGAGAAAAGAATCAGTGAACTTGAAGATAGGAAAACGGAAACTATGCAGTCTGAACAACTGAGATAGAATAGATGGGAAAAAATGATCAGGAGCCTCAGGAACCTGGGGGATTATAACAAAAGATCCAACTAACATTCATGTCATCGGAGTCCCAGAGGAGAGGGGAGTTTGGCGCTGGAAAAGTATTTGAGAAAATAATGGCTGAAAAATCCCCCAATTTGGCAAAAGATATAAACCTATGGTTTAAAAAGCTGAGAAAACCCTAAACAGGTTAAACCCAAGAAATCCATGACAAAGTACATAAACTTCTAAAAACTAAACACGATATCTTGAAAGCAGTGAGAGAGAAACACCACCTAGATTCACCTATAAGGAAAAACCAATTCTCATCAGACAGAGGCCAGAGGAAATGGAACAATATTTTTTGAGTGCTTAAAGAAAAGAATTGCCAACCTAGAATTGTATAGCTAGTGAAAATATCCTTCAGGAATAAAGGGGAAACAGGCATTCTCAGATAAAGAAAAACTACGAGAATTTGTAGCCTGCAGACCTACCCTAAAAAGAATGGTTAAAGGAAGTTCTCTAAATAGAAAAAACATGATAAATCTCTGAATATCAGGAAGGAAGAACAATGGAAAGAGTAAGAACAAGGGTAAATATGAGAGGTTTCTCTGAAGTTTTCTAAATTATGCTTGATGGTTGAAGGAAAATTCTAACACTGTGTGATGTGGTTCTCAATGTATGTAGAGGAGATATTTAAGACAACTAGAAAGCAGGGAGGGTAAAGAGGTTTAAAGGGAGGTAAGGGAGGTACATGTCACATCAACTGGAATGTTGACACTAGCCAGCCGTGGGAAGTTATGTAGGTATAAAGTCATACCAAAACCTGTACAAAGAGATCCACTCAACAACACGGCAGACAATTCAGAATGGAGTTCTAAAAAATGTTCAGGAAGACAGAAAAAAATAAAACAGGGGAATGAAAAAGAGGGAACAAAGAGAAGAAATAAAACAGCAGACTCAAGAGTGAAAGATGCCCCTCCAGGAC